GGAAGGCCAATTACAGACTCTTGCAAAATCTAGACATGAGATGATGAAGGAGTGAACAAGGTTGGTAGTAGTGGGGATATAGAGAAACAGATAGATTTTAAAGGTTGGGCTAAAATTGACAATAAAAGAAAGTTTCATAGCAACATTTTGCAGCAGTATCCCCAATATCCATTCTCCCTTTCTTGAATGGTGTTGATTCTTTAGCCGAATACATGAGTGCCTGTCAAAGATTGTATTTCCCAGGCTCCCTTGCAGCTAGGTATAGCATATGACAAGTTCTGATCAGTTGGATGGGTGTTTCACAGCTTCCAAATTTTGTCCTTAAGTGGCATTTCCCTTCCCTACCAACTTCTGTATAAAATTATGGCACAGGTGAGGACAGCCCTTCTGGACCATAAAATGTGGAATGCATGCTGGACGTAGAGCAATAAAATCACACCACACACCAACCCATGGTGCCTTCTCAGACTTGTGTATAAGAGAGAAATACTCTTCCATCTTATTTAAGTTTCTATTTTTGCTTTATTGTAATTTCCTAACCTTTGGCAATTAAAAATCTTTCAGCTCTCCCGAGAATAAAAGCTCCAACACCAGTACTTACCCATTGCATGAAGCTAGGACAGTATTTAACAGGGGAATATTTAATTCCAACCTGTCTCTGCTCATTTGTTCCTACCATGTCCAATCAGCATTCAAGCTTCAGTGTCTTGAGTCACCGCACAAGAGGTTCATAACTACAAAAAAATTACTGTTTATAAAACTAATGCTTACTTAAAAATCCATTGTTTTTATTTTGATCAGAAGGCTCAATTCTATGTCATATCTGAAGCAGAGGTCTTGGGAAGACATTGTGTTATCTGCCTTTGAGGCAGAAAACAGCCTCCTAGTAAACTTCTAACTCTCCAAGCCAGACATCACCTCCTGATTGATCAATGAGCCAAGTCTGTGATGACAGAATCCCCTCATACAAAGGAGACAAAATCATATTCTAAGTTGGCACTGAATGAAAAACATGTACTTTATTCAAAGGCAAGTTCCAGCTGTGTGAGAGTCTAATAAATTGTCACTAAATTCAGGGGAGAATCAGCTGAAATCTGTGCAGTCTCAGATGTGCAGCCAATGCTGCTATACAGGCCACCAAGCCTTCACATGCTCATGATCTAATGTGCTGAGTCCTTGTGGAAGACTGTCACCTATGTGCCTGGCAGTGTCAGAGGCCCCACTGCATGACACGTACTGGTCCACAGCCACAGTGATTGACTAAGCACCCTTTCATTTGTTATTTCCCTGAAAATCAACCTCAAAAGATTAAAAAGCTACAGAGAAGAAGGTGAAGGGTCAATGGGATTTTACAAGAAAAAATTATTCATTGGCACATGAGTCAAAGGGGGAGACTCGTGCACTTAGAAATGAAATACCCCTTTGGTGAAATGTCCTGAAGTCTGGGAAGGTTAGAGTCAAGTAGGTAAATTTTCTCAAAAATAGACCATACAAGTGTATTTATCTAAGCAATGAGAACAGTGGGATAACTGTGAAGTAGTGATCTTAGGATTAATGACATGACGAAAAAGGGGGCTGTGACTTGATTGAAATAATTTAAAGGACAAATATTTATTGAGCAGACAAGTCATGTCAGAGAGAAGACAAGACAGAGTCTCTGTGCTTAAGGTGCTCAGGGTCTAGTGCAAAAGACAAAGCAACTAGCCATTATGGTAATATGCCCAGTGCCAGAAAGAAATGAAACTGAGTACTAAGAAGACAGGAGGGGGCTCAAGACTAGGTTGGGGAATGAGGAATAGGACAGCTGTTCCTACAGAGGCTAGAGATAAGCTGGGACCAGAAACATGTTGACAGCCTACTTGCCATATTTGCTTAATGGGGATGACACATGCCTATAAAAAAAAATACCCTGATGAAATATGGTTGAGGAACAGATGTGGAGGTATAGATGGGAGGCCTGAGTTCAATTCCTGGCCCAACCTCAACACACAGAAACAGTCCTTGCTGGTTATGGGGCTAGAGTGGAAGGATTGCAACATAGCGAGACCATGTCAAAAATACCTATCTCTGCCTCCCTGTCTCCCTTTACCACTCTAATAACGGACGAACAATGAGGTTGAAAGTTGCCTACTTAATGTATATAAAACATGGCTGATGCAATAAAAGATTTACTCTGTTGCCTCAGTCAACATGGATGATAGAAGAAGTCATTACATAAATTGTAGACAAAAGGCAGAAAGTTAATTTTAAGAAAAGGAAATATAAGGGGATATATTGGAGAATGTATATCATTTAGAAATTCTAGACTCCAGAAGGGAACCTGGAATCATCTAGTACCAATTGTGTTATTCTCAGGAATATGTCTAAATCCACCAAAGTGGGTATGAATTGTCATTTCTGCATAGTGGACTTAGACTCAGGAGCTGGACCGTCTCCACCCATGGCTACCGCCAGTGATAATCTCTGTGGAGTTGTTTAATTTTCTTGGTTTGTCTTTTCTTATAAGAATGAAGAAGTTGAATGAGAACTACAGTTTTTCCAACTTTTTTTTTACTGTCACCCACAGTAAAAACAGGCATTTTATATGTGACCTATTTCAATACTTGATTAACTTCAATGCTCTATTCTAATTCATTTAATTAAAAAAAAGGCCAGTTAGACTCACTAAGTGAATTTCACGTTCCATCATTGGTGAACATGTCTGAACAATTAGTCTGAGTAATTCCAGACTAAATAATTTCTCTTTAAGGGTCCTTCCCATCTGCATGATAATCTAATCTTTAACATACTAGTTTTCAAAGGGATTCACGGGGACTCTCTCTCATGATCCTCACAGCAGTGGTGTGGCATGGACAAAGGAGCTTGAGATTCATCACAGATCACACAGCCAGGGCATAATCACAGGGGGAGCAGAACCCAGTGACTGCACAACCATGTTCGGTAGCTCTTCCTTCAGAGAACTCTGCCTCTGTCCTCAGACTTCAACTAAAGTCACTCTGGTCTGTCAAAATGAGATGAACACATTCCAAGAATTCAATGTTTATTCCTAGATCCTTCAGGAACTACCTTGTGCCAGTCACAGGTGCATGAAACTCGGTCCCTGCCTGGAAGAGCTCACATTCTTAACAGGAACAAAAATTTACCCCCAGATCTATGCACTAAAGACAGCACCTAAGACCCTTTCAGGGTGCCTCGCTCTTTTGTTTCCTGGAGATGACCTTATTGTTCTGTTTAACCTCAGTACTACCTTTCCCATCTGGCCAATGAAAACAGCAAACCTCAAGCTTTCCCTGGAGCCTCTGAGCCTTGGAAGTCAGCAGGCCTGCCTGTTGGGGGCGCTGTAATGGGAAGAGAAGGGCATCCACAGTCCTGCCCAGACAGGGCTGCTCCCTCCCTTTCTTCCCCGCCCCCTCTCCTAAGGGTCAGTACTGTGGTTTGAATGTGTACCCTACACCCTCAAATACATGTATTGAAATTGGAGAGTCATTGTAAAGATGCTGGGAGGGTAGAGGCTTAATCTGATTATAATGTTGAAAAGTGGGGCCTCTGAGAGGTGACTGGAGTTGGATAAGGTCACCAGGGCAGGACCCCCATGACTGACTTCTTGTAGCTTTATAAGAAGAGCAGACACAGTATTTATTCAGCATTTGATGTAGTTTAAAACCTGATTTCAGATTCAGTGGTTCATTTGTCATGATAACCAAAGAGGTAGTGATGTGAATTTAGGCTGGAGAAAGTTGAGCCTCAGAGAAGTTAAATGAAGTGCTCAAGTTAATTTAAGGAGCTGGGGGATGATAGATCTCAACTCTAGGTCTCTCAACCCAACCCTCTGAACCAAAAATACTAAATCCTGTTCCCAGAAACAGGTGTGTTCTCATGAGTTAATACAGGAGGCACTCGCAGTAGGTTGAACTTGACCAAGGTAGAAATCTGGCTTCCAGTGACCTGGCCACTACTAATGACCTTGGGCAAGTTCCCTCTGTCTTGTTTTCTATGGAAAGAGAGGTTTGAACTAGGATCTTGATGTCCCTTCAAGCTCTGAAAGTTCTATAATTCTAGATCTAACTGTCCCCACTCTCAAACCAATCTTTTTCCTATAATAATAATTACAGCTTTAGCTCTTTCACTGAGTACCAGATACAGTACTAAGAGCTCTACCTCCATTTTCCCTTCAAATCTCACAACATTCCGAAGACAAGTATATCTCTTTTACAAGATAGCCTCACAGAAGTTAAATAAAATGCCCAAGATCAGCAGTTCATGAACATCACCCAGGAGATAGAAAATCCAGGTCAAACTGATCCTGAGGACCTTGACTCTGTCTACATTGTTATCGCGGAAGAAATGAGACGCTCTGCTTACTGGTCACCTCCCTTCAAGCAGAGAGGGCACAGAGGAAGACAAGAAATCCAAACCAAGTTACAACAAGCCCCTGCAAGGCAAGAACAGAAAACCACTGGAAGGGCGCCCAGGGGATCTTTCCCAGGCCAAGGGGGCGGGGCGCCCTTCCCCGCCAGCCATAGGATAGTAGCG